AAAAACTGTGTGTTCACTTATTACGTTTACTCCTATGAAAAATATAATGATGACCTCCCTCGGGTGTCGGAATTATCGTCTACAATAAGTGAGACCTAAAATAATGAAAGGCTTAAGGGACACGTAAGTTATTTTACTAAACTAAAACTGAAGTGATAAACAAACAAAGTCATTGTCCACTCAATAGTGAATGGCAACTGCAGATCATGGTCGCCTGCAGCTAACTTCATACATTACAAACTACAAAAAAGGCAACCCTTGAGAACTAAGATGGTACCTCTCACAACCTGAAATTATAATACAAAATACTATTTACATATAAAATTTAAAATGTGCTCATTGATACCTTTCATAATACAATTCATAATACATTCCTCACGCGTGACAACGAATCTATATTTTGATTCGTAATCTAAATGTCTATGGGCCACAACAAGCATTTAGCATTAGATGGACTATGTGCTCATTTATTATACTCTTATTCTATAAAAAAGGCAAAACATTATCTTCCTTTTGGGCGGACAATCGGGTTAAAACCAAACACCTACGTTAAAACCTAATTTTTATACTGTAGTGGGTTATTGTTCTTCTTCATCAGCCGAAAACAGTCCACAGCTGGACAAGGGTCTCTCCATTGAGTTATATGTACTACGTACTAGAGAAGCCATTTCAAACAAAAACTGTGTCCTACTCTATGTTTTCGCGCATGCGCGGGAGTAGTAGGAGTTTTGGCGGGAACTTGTCCGGCGGCGGTTTGCTGCTCCTGTATTATTGTTTAAATAATGGTTTGAAGTGGACTTTGATATGTAAAAGTGGTGCGATTTTGTGTATTAAGTGTCTGCGCATGTGAACTATTAGTGGAAACTGTGACACAAGTGCTCTGATGGTGATGTGATTCTCAAAATAAGGTGTCTGTCTGCTTAGGTGCCTTGAGATACCATCGCCAACCGTCAGCTGTCTGCTGGCTCAAGTTGCCGTCAAAATCTCCCAAGGCCTGCACAATGTGACGCATCAACATATTGTGAAGCAGTACGCTATGAAGGATAATTATTATAATATATTGTAACATCAGGTTCAGAAGGGCTAGATCCCAGACCCGTAAAGCCAGTTATTAAGAAGAAGAAGCGGGAGTAGTAGTCGCGCATGCGCGAAGACTTTAATTTGATATAAAATAAGATATTAATATAAAATAAATATAAGAATTTAATATAAAATATCTTAATTTCATCTAAACAAACAGGTTATATTACTAAATAAAATGTAATAATAATTATTTTATGGAATACACAAATCTTCAATTTACGCAATATTTAGTTTGTAGGGATTGCACTACAGTTCAGTTGAACATAGTCAATGTTCGGAATGGCTTCTCTAGTACGTAGTACATATAACTCAACGGGTCTCTCCCAATTCAGAAGACCTTGCTGTATTTGCCACGCTTGGTAGACTTTTTTTATAGGAGAGGGGGCAAACGAGCATGCGGCTCACCCGATGGTAAGTAACTACCGCCGCCCATGAACAACCGCAACACCAGGGGAATTGCAGATGCGTTGCCGGCGTTTTAAAAAGGAGTAGGCTCTTTTCTTGAAGGTCCCTAAGTCGTATCGGTCCGGAAATCGCTAGTGGTAAACTATTCCACAAGGAAGTTGTGCGAGGAAGAAAACATCTTCTAAATCGCACAGTGGTGGAACGACAATCATCCAGATGGTGTGGATGGTATCGGGAGTTCTGCCGCGATGTGCGTTCGTGAAATTTGGCGGCTGGGATTAATCCGAACAATTCCTCAGAGCACTCCCCATGGTAAATGCGAAAGAAAATACAAAGAGATGCAACATCTCTTCGCAGTGCCAATGAGTCGAGCCGATCGGAAAGGACTCGGTCGTAGACGATTCAAGCCGCTCTGCGCTGGATGCGGTCAAGTGGAAGGAGCTGGCACTGGGGAGCCCCAGCCCAGAGATGGGAACAGTATTCCATGTGAGGCCGAAACTGCGCCTTGTAAAGTTGCAGGCGTTGAGCTGGCATGAAATACTGTCCCGCTCTGCTGAGCACTCCAAGCTTTTTAGAGGCCAATTTGGCCTTCTCTTCCAAGTGATCACGAAACTGCATGTCACTCGATATGTCGACGCCGAGGATTCCGATACTGGCTGAGGCAACAAGGGGAGTACCTTGAAACTGAGGAGATACGACAAAGGGGTTCTTTTTAGCGGTAAACGCGCAAACTTGTGTCTTCTGAGGATTAAACTGGACTAGATTTAGTCGCCCCCAATCCGAGACTTTGTCCAGCAAAGACTCAACTTCAGACACAAGTTTGTTCCGGTACTCGGTGACGTTTTCCCAAGAAATATTGGCACGGCTGGTGTATAAAGCATCACCAGTGCTGCCATCCGTATAGCAATGAATGCTAACGGCTTGCAACATATCATTGATATGCAGAAGAAACAGCGTTGGTGATAGCACGCAGCCTTGTGGAACACCAGCGTTAATAGGCTTGTAGTCGGAGCATGCACCGTCTACAACGACCTTGATGCTCCGATCTGCAAGAAAGCTGGTGATCCAATTGCATAATTTCTCGGGAAGCCCATAGGAAGGGAGCTTCGAAAGGAGCGCTTTGTGCCAAACCCGATGGAAGGCCTTCGCAATGTCCAAACTAACGGCCAATGCCTTCCCCTTGGACTCTACTGCCTCCACCCATCTATGAGTTAAGTAAAGATCACCAGCTGATCGACCCCGACGAAAACCGTACTGGCGGTCACTAATCAGCTGGTGATCCTCAAGGTACCGCATGAAGTGGCAGTTTGTAACGGATTCCATTATTTTGGAGAACAAGGGGGTGATGGCGATAGGCCTGTAGTTGGACGGGTCTGAGCGGTCGCCTTTTTTAGGGATCGGGTGTACAAAAGCTGTCTTCCATGATTTCGGGATTACGTCTAGGGAGTAGGAGTACCGGAAAAGACGCGTTAGAACCGGTGCCAACTCCGGAGCACACGTCCTCAGCACAATTGGGGGATTCCGTCAGGCCCACTTGACTTGTGGATGAACAGTCGAGTTGGACGCAAAAAGGGAGCCTAAAAGGTCGGCTTTCTCTTTTGCGTCGTGGACCAGTGAGTCATCCTCCCTGTGCAGAGATGGTAGTGATGGCTTACAGAAATTCCCTTGGACAGCCTTGTTGAGAGACCAGAATGCACGGGTTCCCGAAGGAAGGCGAACTAGTTTCTCGCCAATTCTGCCTATGTGCTCTGACTTTGCCTTGGCAATAACTCTTTTGAAGGACCTGGAGGCGAAGATATACTTCTTTTTAAGTATGCTGGTGTTTACATTCCGAGTCGCCGAAGCCGCAGCCCAGGCTTGATAACACTCCTGCTTACTGCGTAAAGCAGTCTTACAGGAGCGACCAAACCAAGGCTGAGATCTGCCTCCGAGCAACAGCGCTGGGATCATCCGGCGAGAAGCAAACCCGCCCCCATGGGTAGGAAGCAAAGAAAGACCGCATTCCGTCCCAATCCGCCGACCTGTAATGCCAAACACGACGGCAACCTGCAGAACGCAACCGCGAGGGGAGCGTGAGTGGCACCATACTCCGGATCAGACAATGGTCCGAAGAGCCGAGAGAGGCATCGACGGAAACCTGATATCCGTCCGGATGAGAGGTCAGCAGAAGGTCCAACAGGGAAGGTGTATGATCCTCAACATCTGGAATCCGCGTAGGCGATGTAACCAGTTGTGTCAGACCATATGCCAAGGCAAAGTCATAAACAGATCTCCCCGCATGATCGGTTAAACGTGAACCGAGCCATTCGGCGTGATGGGCGTTAAAATCGCCAAGGATCACGATCTCTGCGGATGGGACCTGTTGTAGCAAGGAATCTGTAGCCATTTGGACGTGGTCGATGAGTCGGTCTGTTTCGGCATTACCGCTATGGGACCTATAGAGGCACATGTAGACGCGCGGATGGTCGTCGCTGTCTACGCGTAGCCAAAGGATGGACAGGTCCGAACCTTCAAGACTGCCGAGGCGTCGAGAACAGATGTCCTTTCTGACATACACGCAAACTCCAGCCCGAGGCACAAAGGAGTGCTCCAATTTGTACCCCGGGTAGGAGAGATACGAAGTATCAGCCGGAGAGGACACCTGCGTCTCGGTCAGAAAGAGCAAGGCCGGCTTCGCCGTCTCGAGATGGTAGTGGACGGCGTCTAGGTTCAAGTGAAGTCCCCTGATGTTGCAGAAATTCACGGATAGCGTGGCAGGGGTCGCCTTGGTACCCACGCTCAGGAGTGGAATAGCATGGTCGTGGATGCTCAGCGAGGGATTCTCCAGGGGTACTGGTACCCTCCTGGGGTAGTTTATGATGTAATTCCGCTACCACGTTGATGGGGGGGGGGGGGGAATTGGGCCTCCTGTCACCTGCACTCACCTGCACTCACCAGACGAAACGCGGAAGCAGAGCTTCCACTTCACGCCGGTATTCTGTGAGGTCGTGGTACTAACCCGGCTCGAGCCGACCCATACGTGCAACAGCAAAAGCTGCTGCGTGGCTCTACCACCGTTAAACTGGCTTGATTTGCTAATGTGACCCAAGTTGCTATCGATAAAAGGTATTATCTCCACCAATTAAAGAATAGGAAAGACATCGAAAACATTGAAAGGGATGTGGTTTATCTTAACTTATTCTAACCCAGTGCGTGACAACAAGCCCACCTGTTGGTAAGTGGTGATGAAGCAATAGGTGGTAAATCGCACAGTCTTTAGCGTAACAAATGCCTTACTAATTCGCGCTTGCCTTGAAGACTCCTAAATTGAAATATAAGATTGCCTGAAGTATAATATAAGTTCCCAGAAATAGGGGAAAAAAAAGTAGAAAAATTTCGATCTTCTAAAAATGGATGGAGTCGGTTGTTATTCAGACAGTCGTACTGGTACCGGCGTATACCAGTCATTTACTGGAGCAATAGATGGAATGTGTAAGATGAATCCTTAAATATTATAAATAAAATTTACTTACCAACAGCGCCCATTCTCAAGTAGAAGCTGCCATAGTGGTGCGTTCGGGTGGCGAGGGCGAAGCCTAGCGATAACCGCTTCGCAGAAAGTCGTGGCGGCACGCGAGCTGCCGTCGTCGCCGTGCTTCTCTCCGTGCGTGATGAACACGAATCCGACTCCGATGGTGAAGAACTCGTATCTGACTCTAATGTAATGTTATTTATTTTAAAAAAACGTAATCCTTTCACAAGGATTTTCACCTGTATTGTAGTGTTTTACAATACACAAATTACACTACACCAACCGCTTGCACTGTTGTGTTTCTGTCTGGAACGTATAGAGAGTCAGTATGATTACAGGCTTTGAGGTATTCTATCTTAGTTCTCCGAGGTGACAAAGCATCTGTAGCCTCCTTTGATTGAATTTGGCTGCAGGTGTTCATGGACTACCGAAGACTACATTAGGTGGAATGTAAGATCGTTTGTCACTTTAGTTTTTTTTTTAACTGCACATGGATAAACATTTATTCCATGCATGATTCGATCCCGCGGATCCGCAACACCGCACCTAAACGATAGAGCATGCAATACCGCAGTATATTTTCAATACCGCAATATTAGTATCGGAACTTTTAATATCGCAGAATTTGCGATATTGTGAAATTAAAAAAATCCTTTAATGGTGGTTTAACTGAAACAATAACATGTGTAATAAAATCTTTAACGGGGGTTAAATTAAAACACTGACATGAGGTAACTGCAATCGATCACACATACAAACCTAATCTTAATTTTTACCTTGGAAATGTTTATGTAAAAAGCAAAGCATATCCACTGTCTCATCATTTCAAGAACTTCTAGATTTATTACATACATATGTATCCAGCAGCTGAAAATACTCTCTCAGCTTCTATGCTCGTTGGTGGAATGCTTAGCAGATAGTTATACACAGTCTCCAGATATTTACCCATTGTTACTCCGGTTTGATACCGGGTCCGTTTTTAATACTGTAAAATTCGCATCTATAATCTCGCTTTTGTGGTGCTGAAATAGAGCGCGAAATTTGCGAAATTGCGGTAACGATATAACGGTATTGCATGCTCTACTAAACGCTTAGTCATACTCATATGAAGCAAAAGTCAATCAATGAGGAGGTCCATGTTTAGCTGTGAACTTTGATATGCTGTAATGATGATGATAATGATTAAAATTCGAAAATGTATGACCGGTCTAAGCTTTTTGATACGACCAGTAGTGTAGCACTATGTCTCCACTACTGGTCACTTCATTTTTATTTATATGTACGAGTATTATTGTTGTAACAAATATTCGCATTCGCATCCGCGAATATTAGCGTCTTTAATATTCGCATTCACATTCACAGTGGATTATGCGATTTTGTTTCGAATGTATTTGGCAATGAAAAGTGAAAATCGTTTGTAAAATAACACTGCAACTGATTAAATTTATAATATTTTCATTTAAGTTAAAACATTACCTTGCAATATAAAATGACAATTATAATATGATAAGAAAAACAAACTTCAAACTTTTTTAACGCACAATTGAACTAAGTAAATTGCTACATTTTTAATAACACTAAACTTCTTTAAACAATATCTTTACTGAGAACACAAAGTGATAAGCTTTATATTATTTAACATATAGCATATAAAACCTACTTCACTTATATACTTAACCTCAAAATTAAACTGACGAAATAACTATTCTTAGCTAACTTCAGTCAATAAACGAGCAACGTGGTAGAACCATGCTGCAGCTTTATTACGGTTGTACCACGAATGAGAACCACAGAATACCAACGTAAAATAGCAGCTCAATTCTGCTGTGTTTCGTGTAGTGAGTGAACAACCTTTTTACTGGAAATGAGGCATTCCATCTTAGTTCTTAGGGGTGGCAACGCGTTTATATTTTGGTTCTTAATCGAGGATAGATGTAAAATGTAGATGTCTTTGGGTCACAGCATCCACTTACCATCATGTGGACTGCATGCTCGTTTTTCACCCTTATTCCATAAAAAAACGGGTTGTTTACTTTGTGGTTCGTGTAATATCGACTACTTTCGGTTTCAATAAGACCATTTGTAAATGCACGATCTAAATGTAAGATAGTAATTGCATTCTTTCGCATCATACTTAAAAAGCTGATATTCGCATTTGCATTCGCGAATATGGGAAATTGAACATACGTTAGATCACGAATATGATAGATAGAAAATTACAAAAATACTAATTGAAAGTCCTTTATACTTTTACCACTGATTCAGAAAAAATCACTATTCTGGGGAGAACCAGTGCAAGAAAACCAGCGGTACGTTATTTTAAACAATAGTTTACAATGAAATATGTAGTACAATTAATATGAGAATATTTAGAAACGAATAAATTATTTAGAAACGAATAAATTATTTAGAACGAGATAGCGATCTCATTCTGGGGTTATTGTCAATTATTTATGCTTTAGTAGTATAATAACCCTTATTAAACAATTTTTGCTTAATAAATATTTTAAACTTTTTGATAGATTAGATCTGCATATTTTCTGGGACTTTGCAAGATTTCGGTAATATTTAATTTCCTGTCACGGAACACTAATTGTACAGTATAACTGGCCCTTAACTGGTTTTAACCGAGTAAAAGAAGCTGTTCTTGCTGTAACATAAGTGTTTGTGACTGTACCATAAACCTGTGCCGGCATTTTTATTAGAGCTTTTTGAGATCCAGTACAATATACTTATATTAAGCGTTACATTCTCAGTAAAAAATTCTCCTTTATGCAGACGTTTAACAAATATAAATTTTAAAAGGGCCAAATCCAGTACAGTTATTTGTAAAGTAAAGTTACAGGCTATATACGTCCCTCAACTGGACACAGGCCACCTCTCATCGCCGCCTCCCAACGCGTGTTGGCGGATTTTACATGTCTATGAAATATTTTGTTTTATTTCTCAGATATGCAGGTTTCCTCAGGACCCTTTCCTACGCCGCCGAGGTTTATTAGCACTTAAATTGCAATTAACAATTTCATTGATGCTGGGGGGGGGGGGGGGTCGAGCCCAAGTTGCTCGTGTACTGTCAAATTAACAACGAACGCTCAGTCCACTAACTAATACGAGTCAATCATTTGTAAAAGATAATCAAGAATGACATAAGAACTCACTTAATTAAGAATTGTAAAAGATAATCAAGCTTGCTGTCAACCAACCGGGTTTTTGAAATGGCTTTACTCTAGTTTATTCAATCAAGACAACGCTTTTAATCACAGCATTTACAGACTATCTGCAAACTACGGAAGCTTCGACTAACTCTGTGTCATAAACTTTACTAGCTAGACCTCGCTGCTGATTGCTATTACTGTCCAGCATTTAAGTTTCAACCGTTGTAATGTATATTATTCACGAAAATTGTTGTTTACAAATTTTATCAACGAAATATATATTTAATCATTATTCCACCAGCGTGTAGAGATACTGCAATTATCACTCCCCAGACTATCCGTTGTAACACGCATTTCACCCGCCCTTTGTCAGACACAACGCCCGCTGGGCTTTTCACCTCATTTAAATATCAAATGCGCCCGTTGAATATGAAAAATCACTTTCTAAAATATTTCCACAAAGACTCCAGGGACGCATCCGAGAGAAATCGTGAATTATATCAAATAAAATATACGCAAGGAACAAATGTCACTTTAAGCATAGTAAATGTATCTCATATCACTGCAAGATAAAGATAAAGGGTTTCTAGTTTCTGAAATCGCATTTGATTAATATTTGTTACTTTTTGTGTCTTAGGCGCTCACGATGTGAGCAAATCTTCGATTCAGATTCCCAAACATAATTAATTATCGGAAAATGAGATGATTTAAAAAATATAAACCGATTTCCATTATCATTAGATTTACATTGAAAGTATTTGTAAAAAATAAAACATAAAACAGCAAATATTTTAAAAAAAGGTCCGAATTAAGGATTTTTTATTACATTCGGTTAGAACTAGTTTCGCTACTTGAGTTTTAGCACAAATTATGGCCATGAAGTGGCGGCTTAAAGGAAACCACTGCCTCTTAATATCATCCTGTGGGTGTCGTACGAGGCTGCAGAGGAAAATTAAACGGAATGACGGGCAGCAGCTGGTAGCAGAAAAACTGCGTTTGCTACCAGGTGCGTTACCAAGCGTAGCAACTATGGAATAATTTTTCCTTGCAGGCATACACTAAGGAAGTTCTATGTTCAACAGTGAATACTTTTGATAGCCTGTGATGATGATATGGAATTAAACAAACGCTTAGAAATTTATCATAAACTAGCTGATACCCTCGACTTCGTCCGCGTTGCTTCATATATTTAGAAAGTTTTCGTAAGCACAATATATAAATTAACTGGGTTAGTAATGCGAGAGCCCGCGTGAAAAGCCCCGTATACAAAACGTTAAAACATTAATAACTTTACATTAAATGAAGATATCGCAATAGCTTTCTTTTTAGATAAAGGTCTTTTTAGGTAAAGAAAGTCTCTAAGAAATAAAACTCAGAAAACCTAATTAAAATTTATCCAGTACTTTTCCGTGATGCGCGCACAACTGAAAACCTCTACCATTTTATTTATATAGATATCTAGAAGACGTTCCAAGGAGACTTCCGTTTGCAGCTCTGACTTTTACTTCACGGTTTAGCGTCGTAGCATCATAAGTATACTTGTAATCATTTAATACTACAATTTTAGAGACAGACTTTACAGTAATTCATTTTTCGACAAGAAATGAAAAGAAAACAACCTCAAGTGAACATTTCATTTGTGCTTATATTTTATTTAACAGGTTTTATAAAAGCTAAGCTAAACTTAAGGTAATGTTTTATTTCAATAAAACATAAATAATTAATTTCAATGACTTTTACTACTTCGATCTTTCAAAATAATTCTAGCAAGAAGATTAATAACAAGCGATGGCCTCCTTAATTATTTGTAAACACTATAAAGAAAAAGGCAGTAAGACTTTAGTATAAATATCCAGCATAAATTAAAAAGTAAAAAAATATATATTTACTATTTAATTTATGTTTACGTTTTATAGGTTATAGATCACGCTGCAGCTACATATATTATGGTTGTAGCACGAACAGATCGGTTCAATCAGAGAAGGACAACGCTTTCTCAGAATACTAGCTGCATAGTACAGTCGTATAT